GACAAAATCTTATTAGCATTGAGAGCGACACGATCGCAAGAGATCGGCGCCGGATCGAAACGCCTACGTCACGAAGTATATATCGCCTCCTCCACTGCCTTTATTTTGCCAGAATTCTGTAAGAAAAGAGATAGAAAGAGACAGACTGATGGCGAGAGAAAGAGACGGAGGCACTCGGCAAGATCACCAATTGATTTCTAAGATTTTGTTGCGTTTATGGCATATTTTTATGGCACTTTTGGGTTTCTTTTGAATCTCCGTTGTCTTCCACTCATTGGGTAACATTCACTTTTTGTTTCGGCACTTTCTTTCTAATCGAAAGTTTTTTGTATTTAGCTGCGTGAAAATGTGTGGGAGGAGTTTTTATAAGTTGGGGAGGAAAATGCGTTGGCCGCAGGTTTTGGTTACTTTTCAAATTAAAAGACAGCAGCGAGGGAGAAAAGCGGCAGAAAGAAAACCATTTCCAAGACACCTGTTTACGGTGTGTTTTGTCTTTTGTTTGCCAATGCAATTTCAAAGGGGGAACACCGGGGTTAAATTGTTAAAACTCAACGTAGGTGGTTGGTTGCTTGGTTTGTGGCCCCAAAAATTGTTGCACTTTGCTTCGGTTTTGTGTTTTGTTAGTTGTTCGCTTGTCTCTCGACTTGTCCCGTGGCCGAAAACAGCAAACAATGCTGTGGATGTAGAGATAAAAATCTACCAAATTTGCCTACCTATATAGAAAGTCATGCACTGCAGCGAAAAAAGTATATAAATTGGGGTAAACAAATCGAAAAGAATATCTAGAGACTTGCACAATTTATCCATTATCCATTTTATATGTACCTATGCCCGTTTGTTCTTTTTTTGAATGGTAAACTAAAAACAAATAAATAGCAACAACAAACGGTTGGTAAAATAAACAATGGGAAAATCAGAAATCAGAGGAAGGGGCGGGTTCAACACAACAGGTTCTCGGGGCCATAAAATGGTAAGAAACCGTTTCATTTTTCCTGACTTTTCGCAAAAGGTGTAAACACGAGGCCCCTGGAGGTGGGAGGAGGTGCACACACGGTGCATGTACCATTTGGATGGAGGCCAGACACTTGCGCACACTAAACGATTGGGTTTTCAGGTGTTAAAAACTAAAAACTACCTGTACGATGCAGAGAGTACGAGTCCGAGTCCAATGATTTCGGAGCATGAAATCGCTGGCCGTGCTGGAAAAATGCCATGAAATGGGCTTTCGTCAAATTAGCGTGGCAGCGTTAACCGATGGATGGGATAGGTATGGTATAGGGATAGGATAGGATGGATGCTGAGGGCAAAATGCATCTAACAGATGCATCTGTGCACCTTCTCTGTGGGATATTTCGCACTTTGCGCCCTTCACATTCTGTTCTCTAGGGTCGTTTGCCCTGCGTTTTCTTCTTCTTTTTCGTTTTTTTTTTTTGCTACCTGCTGCCTTGATTTATATATTTTTACTGCAAAACTGCATTCGGTTTTTATCTGTATCTGCATTTGCATGACACAAAACCTGGCTTCGGCCTGGAACCCTGTTATCTAACTGGAAGAATGCCCGTTCCCTGACTTTGGCACTTGATCTACACACATATACCGCTGAAGATGAGGCCGAATGCTGAGTACTGAATACCGAATGCTGAGGAGACTCCACTCCGGCTGAGGCCTCATAAATTCTCTCGTCGTTTAGTTTTTACGATTGTCGGCTGGCTTTGTTTGGCCGAGGTCCGTACAGCAATGGATAAAATAATAGCAATTAAGATTGTCTTTAAAAAATATTTTTTTATTTTATACCAAAGTTGGTTTTTTAAAATAAGCTTTTCTCTATTTTCCTCATTTAATTTTTTTTACGGAAAAATGTTTTCCGATCATACGATAATACATAATTTAGATGGTGGGCTAAAACAGACCTCCCTTAATTAAGTAACTTTTAATCTCATTAGGTTTATCAATAAAAATTAAGAATTTAATAATCTTAAAACCCATAATCTTCTCCTTATGTCAAGATAATAATACCTTGTAAATGGGATTTTTAGTTAGTTTCAGTGCTACTATCTTGAACGCAACTGTAGGCACTCGCACACATTGCCAGCGACACGAACTCACAGATACAGGCCGCTTGTATCTTTCGACGTTGGCCTATCTAAATACATGCTGAAGAGTTGAAGTGCCAGGGACCCCAAGCAGAAACGAAGAAACGGCAGCGACAACAGCCTCCTGCCAAGATCTCTGCGCCTGCGTACTGTACTCGGGAACTTGGGAACTTGGAAACTCGGGGAACTTGGCACTCGGACCAAAACCAAGACCAAAACTAAAACCAAAGAGCCGAGGCTACCAAAAACTGGTCCCTGGGCCAAAGTTTGCGTGCTTTGCTGAAATTTTAACGCTGGACCCGGCACCCGAAAAAAAAAACTCTTTTGAGCTCAGAGAACTTTCAGGTAGTCCCCCGTTAGGCATTTAATATCTTTGGGCCATGTCCAGGAATCGGAATGAATGAGCAAAAAAATGAGAACTAAATATTAATGGTGCATCAAAATATATTCACGAGGGCGTGCAACTATTTTAACGGCCTTTAGGTTTAGGTTCCTTCATTCAGTTCTCTTGGGAAACCAGGAAATGCCTGAATAGAGCCTATTAAACGAAAAATGGACTGTGAAATTTTTATGGGTTTCCTAGCTCTAGAAATTCGATACTTCTCTGGCATGATGACCACCCACAGATCTTTTAGCCCTTATCTAAATCTGATCTTTAGTCTAGCTTAGGGTTATGGAAACATCCAAATAACCAACCAGCATATCTGCCCACGAAAATGTTTTTGCCTTTAATTATGACACATTTAAGAAAGCCACCAATTTACGTCTGTAAGTTTACCCAAGTCTCGAAATTGCTGTCGAGTCATAAGTTGAGGGCCAAAAACCAAAAAAAAAACTCCAAAAGAAAAGGCCGACCGAGGGAGATAGGGATAGAGGAGAAAGGAGTGAGAGACTTGACGAAAGTACTTTCATTTTCACGCTCATAAAATGGGACTACCATAAAACTTAAAAATGTTGTCGTAAAAACTTAAAAATCAGAAACGTACCAAGAGAGGGCCAAGTTAAGCGGCTTAAATGACATTTAAATCAGTCAAAATAAGGGGGGCAAAATCGAGACAGACACACACACAGAATTCAGACGGCCAAAAAGACAAGCGACACTCGAGACTGAAGATCCCTTTCACTGGGGCTCTCAAGTTAAAAAGACGGGACAGGGCAGGAAGTTCGCACTTTGGCAAAGATCGAAGAACCCCAAAATGAGGAATGGAAATTAAAACTATAAAAGAAACCCCGGGGAGAGCCATTCCAGCACACGTCTTTTCATGCATACACAGCGAAAAACTTGATATTAATAATATACATTTTATTTCTTCAATAATAATAATATTTGGTATTTTCTTTTAGCCTAAAGAATTCGCGGTCTTATTAAATTCATTAATTAAGTTACGGATTTTTATAGCTAAACTAAAATATCAGTTGGCTAAATATTTGTTCCTCCTGTTCTAAAGAATTCGCGGTCTTATTTCATTAAAGAATTCTCTTATGCTTTTAAATGATTAAAAGTATGAAATTGTTATAAAGAATTTTCGCTTAATTTTGTTAAAAAGAAAACGATTTGATATTGATCTTTTCTTTGTGTGTATGTACCCCATCTCTCCCCGTGATTACGCTTTAATCTCGTTATAATGAGGCAGGAAAATTGCTTGGCGGATGTGCCGAGCGTGCCCGATGGGATTGGGAATAGGGATTGCAATTGGGATGGGTAGGGGAATCGGAATGGGTATGCGGATTTAACCTGGAACCTGGATGGAGCTGCGGTTGACATCCTGGCTACCAGCTGGGCAGCACTCATCTCTCTCAGGAGTGCAGCTGAGATTGAATTACCGGGGAAAAAGGGAGAAACCCTGGGGAGGACCAGAGACAGAGACTCAAAGCAGAGCAGACACAATGCAAAAGGGAGAGACAACCGGCAGACAGCAAATACACTTGTTCGAGTAATCTGTTCCTCACTTGTATTTTTTGTTCCTCCTTTTTTTTGTGAAATATGATGCCGCCGAGGCGCAGGTCGTAAACAAACCAAAGACACGATCGGGAGGCAGAAAAGGGTCCCAGGAAAGAGTTGCGAGATAAGGTTAGATAAGCGCCGGTACACATATGAGTGCTTGTATAATGTTTACCTGAATCGACCAAGTGAACACTTCCTTCTTCCCTCAGTGGAGCAGAGACACACACTTTTTTTTGGGGTTCTTTTGGAGTTCTTTTTATTCTTTCGATAAGGCGAGCATGAATGAAAGTTGTATACTTATAATTCTGGGAAGAATTCAGATGATAACCCCACTTGTTCCATTAGGTTGAGTAGATGTTATGGGGGTAACTAATTCGGAGACAGTTTCCACTAATAGACAGGAAAAAAAACCGAAAAAACCTTGAAATTTTATTAGATATGTATGTAAAATAAACCATAGAAAAATAATATTGAACTGATAAAATTAAAGGGTCGTTTTATGAAAACCATTTTTAATAGGGAAAGGAAACCTCTACACAAGTAGTGAAGTTTGTTTGGGTTAATACCAAGTATACTATTTTTGAAAATAGCTAAATTAAACATATATGTGTAATCAAATTGTAAACAAATCCCAAAAATAGCTTGAAGCTTGTAAGCTGAAAATGTGACCAAACGTTTTGAATATCATAGAGTATGAGTATGGAGGATGTTTTACTATAAACTTTAATATTGAATACTAAATATTTTGTAGAATTTACATTTTATTACATTTATTACCGATTGAATTCATAGAAAAAGTAGAGGCTTTAAAAAAAACTTATCGTTATATTTAAAGCAATCAAAATTAATAAGTCTTTACCATTTTTCTCAGAGAATATTTAGAGTCTTAGTTTAAATTACTACTTTTTTTTTAAATGTATTTTCTATTCTTAATTTAAACTTTACTTTTTCAAAAAACCCACCTGAACTTTGCATGCCTGGCAGAACTACCGACGATTCGGACTTGAAGCCCCCGCTTAGACCGCTGCTGCTGCTGGTGGGCTTCTCCAGTCCCATGTCCAGGGTGGTGGATCCATCCAGATCGACGAGCGTGTTGCCAGGATGGGTGTGTACCGCACTGCGATACTCCTTCGCGAAGGGCGTGGCAGCCTGTGCCGCCCCCAGGGATAGCACTACGATGAGCCAGGAGGACATGACGGCGGATCCTCTGTACTTTCTTTTGGCCACTTCACCCGACCACATGGCACAGTCACTCACTAGTCACATAGACGAAGCCAGTCGATGGGAATTATGATTATTACTTGAATACTTTGACGACGCGTGACACTTTCAATTAACACCGCTCAGCGGTTGCCGCCGAATGCGCAAAAAATGTGTGACTTTTGATCATTAAATTAGTTAGAGTCGTCGGCCGACTTGACTTTGATGGGGGGCACTTAGCTCAGAGAAGCTGGGTCGAGTAAAATGACAAATTCGAATTTTGAAAACGGGAATCGTTTGACCCCCATTTGACCACTTTTGCCCACCCTTTAGTTTTTTTTGACCACGTCCAGTTTCGAAAATATCGAATTTCGAAAATTTTCGAAAATCAAAAATTTGACTTTTTCAAATTTTTTTTTGTGGAATCGTTTGACCCCCATTTGACCACCATTGCCCACCTTTTAGAATTTTGAAAAAGTCAAAACTTTGGAAACTGTGGCCATTTTTCGTTTTTCTCAAAATTCGAAAATTTTAAAGTCGAATTTTTTAAAACTTTTTTTTGTCCAATCGTTTGACCCCCGATTGACCATCATTGCCCACCCTTTAGAATTTTGAAAAAGTCAAAACTTTGGAAACTGTGGCCATTTTTCGTTTTTCTCAAAATTCGAAAATTTTAAAGTCGAATTTTTCAAAACTTTTTTTTGTCCATTCGTTTGACCCCCAATTGACCATCATTGCCCACCCTTTAGAATTTTGAAAAAGTCAAAACCTTAGAAAATACAACACTTTTTCGTTTTTCTCAAAATTCGAAAATTTTAAAGTCGAATTTTTCAAAACTTTTTTTGTCCATTCGTTTGACCCCCGATTGACCATCATTGCCCACCTTTTAGAATTTTGAAAAAGTCAAAACCTTAGAAAATACAACACTTTTTCGTTTTTCTCAAAAGTCGAAAATTTTAAAGTCGAATTTTTCAAAACTTTTTTTTGTCCATTCGTTTGACCCCCAATTGACCATCATTGCCCACCCTTTAGAATTTTGAAAAAGTCAAAACCTTAGAAAATACAACACTTTTTCGTTTTTCTCAAAAGTCGAAAATTTTAAAGTCGAATTTTTCAAAACTTTTTTTTGTCCATTCGTTTGACCCCCAATTGACCATCATTGCCCACCCTTTAGAATTTTGAAAAAGTCAAAACCTTAGAAAATACAACACTTTTTCGTTTTTCTCAAAATTCGAAAATTTTAAAGTCGAATTTTTCAAAACTTTTTTTGTCCATTCGTTTGACCCCCGATTGACCATCATTGCCCACCTTTTAGAATTTTGAAAAAGTCAAAACCTTAGAAAATACAACACTTTTTCGTTTTTCTCAAAAGTCGAAAATTTTAAAGTCGAATTTTTCAAAACTTTTTGTTTGTCCATTCGTTTGACCCCCAATTGACCATCATTGCCCACCCTTTAGAATTTTGAAAAGGTCAAAACCTTAGAAAATACAACACTTTTTCGTTTTTCTCAAAAGTCGAAAATTTTAAAGTCGAATTTTTCAAAACTTTTTTTTGTCCAATCGTTTGACCCCCAATTGACCATCATTGCCCACCCTTTAGAATTTTGAAAAAGTCAAAACCTTAGAAAATACAACACTTTTTCGTTTTTCTCAAAATTCGAAAATTTTTAAGTCGAATTTTTCAAAACTTTTTTTTGTCCATTCGTTTGACCCCCAATTGACCATCATTGCCCACCTTTTAGAATTTTGAAAAAGTCAAAAACAAAAGTCAAAAGAAAATACAACAATTTTACGTTTTCACTGAATTTCAAATACCTTTAAAGCTGAAATTTTCAAATTTTTTTGCATGGAATCGTTTGTCTACCGTTTGAAAAAATTTATACTTTAAAAGTTATCTTAATTATAAGTTTTTCCTTAAGAAAAAATCGTTTGCCCACCCTTTAAAACTGAATATTTTTGGAAAAAAACGTTTGCCCACCTCTTAAAACTAAAAAATATTCACTGCCCACCCTTTAAAAATACATTTTTATAAAAACAAACGTTTGCCCACCTCTTAAAACTAAAAAATATTCACTGCCCACCCCTTAAAAATACATTTTTATAAAAACAAACGTTTGCCCACCTCTTAAAACTAAAAAATAATGACTGTCCACCCCTTAAAAATACATTTTTATAAAAACAAACGTTTGCCCACCTCTTAAAACTAAAAAATAATGACTGTCCACCCCTTAAAACTAATTTTATATAAAAACCATCGTTTGCCCACCCCTTAAAAATACATTTGGTTTACAATTAAAAATTGCTTAAAATTAGTGTTTCAAATAAAACAAGGTCTTGTGAAAATCACAAAAAAATTTTATTTAAGCAATGGAACATTTATACATTTTAAAAATTACAAAATATTTAAACTTAATATGTATCACTCGGCCTGCGTATATATAACAATATGGAATGTCATTTTCGTTGTGTACGCAGTGAATTTTCGCCATCGTCTGCACATATCATCGTGAACTTCCCAACATCCCGTTACTCTTCGGCAATATGAAATATAATGTCCGATTCCAGATCCTTGTGCCGGGACGTATTCAATGGCACCGCTCAGAATGTATTTTCTATTCTGTATTTTTATTTCTTGCGGTATCTGGAGCAAGGTTGCAGATCCTGTTGAGCCGGCTGATGTTTTTTTATGGAACGCACTATCTGTCGCAAATTCTATGTCTATTATGACATGAGGTCCTGGATCTCTTTCAAGGATCTCTTCTCCGTAGCATCTTCTGCATATTTCTTCGGATTCTTCAAAATATTCGCCAATAAAGGTGAGCAACGCCTTGGCAACACCGAGATCCTTAACCATTTCTGAATCCATTAGCTCCAACCGTTGGAGTGTGATGTGTGATGTGTGGCTCTCGCACTCGTTCTTGGCACCTTCCTTATGTGAACGGCGGCTTGTTACACTCGGTATTCCGTTTAGAGCTTGATCAACAAATGCTCCGATATTTGTTTCGCACAGTACGGTGTTGTGTTTTTCTTCAAAAAATGACATTAAAATCAGACCTCTATCGCAGTAAAGGCTGGCAGAAATTCCCTCGTCGGCATATTTTTTTATTAAAGCCACTGTCAGGTTATCCGTATTATTATCCAATTTGTTTTTATAATGATAATTATCCATATATGCGGTCGATAATATTTCCACTAAAGAATCCATTGCACAAGTGTTTTTAAATTGTATTAATTTATTTCCAATCCATATGGGTCCCATTGCTCCGCCATTATGTAAGATCTCATCCCTTTGTCTTCGATGAGGTCGATTGTAAATTAATTCGACGTTAGGGCATTTCTTCAGATATTTTCCTCTTGGTCTATGTTTGCTTTCTTCGTATTCGTTTTCCAAATCCATTGTCTGATAAATGTTTTCATTTTCTTCGTCTTCTTTGACATTATAATCCGATGGATTTTTAGTATTGTTCTTTACCTTCCAGTTTTCCTCTTTTAAAAGGTATTCCACGTCGCTTTCATCAGACATATCCTCCAGGACTCCTTTTTCTTTCCGGATTTTTTTTTTAATTGGTTGTTCCTTTATGAATTCAGGAACTTTTAAGTTTTTGCGCTTCATGGCGGCTCGTTCCAATTTGCACACAGCTTCGATGCAGCGTATATGTTGCACCACGAATTTATCTGCACGCACTGGTCGGTGGAATATACTCATGTCCGTGTTTTTAAGATCCTTGAAGTATGCTTCCACCAGTGCAGATGAGCCGACATTATTTTTTGATGAGAATTTGTCCTTCATCACATTAGTCCATAATACAAAGTATTGGCACAATTTTAGGAGAGGTGGCATCAATTCCGGCAAATAATACGGGTTTGGCCGGCACTTTGCAGAATTGCACTTTGACGCTTCATCTTCGGCCTTGTTTTTAATGCTGGAGATGAAATCCGAAACATCTCCGTCAGTTTCCTCCAATTCTTCCGGTAAATATACGTTATCCTCATTTTCCTCATGGTCCAGAGCCGTAAATGTGGCTATTCGGGTGAGCAGATACTTTTCATTCCTGTGGCTCGAAAGATAATCTCCTGATTCATCTTCTCCAGAGGATTCGCTCAATGCAACTATGAGTACTGCCTTTATAATTTCTGCAAAGGTCTCCTTCGTTTCGCATGTCGTTGCCACTCCAATGCATCTAATAAAAAAATCCTTTACGTTCGGCAATTTTCCTTTAAAAACGTTTTTCCGGCACATCATTTTAATAAGGTGGGCGATATCAAGCCGAATGAAGCAACGCGGCAGTTCCGTCGGGTCCTCCGATGAAATATTTTGGAAACATTTCGAAATATACGTCTTCAGGCGGCATTCATTGAAGCTCAAGCTTATTCCATTGAGTAGCGCCAAGGAAAAATCCGACACGACCTCCAGTGGAAATTGTCCCGATTTACTAATAAATTTGCTCAGCCAAAATTGGATGCTGGCAGTATCATGCTTCGCCGACAGCATTTGGAAGACAGGAAATATGCTGTCGTCTCCCTCCATTACAATTTGATATAAAAACACGTAGCTGGATTCTCCGTTCGGTTTTACAATGGGTAACACAACGCTTCCAGTTGCGTCGACCGAAATTTTTTTAATGCTCCGTATCCTTGAGGTATATGTTTTTATTTGGGCTCCTGTGCAGTAAATGCAGAAAAATTCGTCCAGTCCGATGTCAAGGATGCATCCAGCCAATTCACCCTCATACTTCTTGAGGTATAAACTTGAAATTGGATCACGATCCTTGGTGATTCCTAGGTGCCGGTTAGTTGCCTCTTCACGAAGTTTTCGCAGAGTTGGTAGCTTCGGGATGTAGCTCGGCTCTGGGTCGTCATCTTTCATTTCCTTGGTTGCTTCCTTTCTCCATAATGCCGCTTTCTTTAAAATCAATTCTTCTCCGATTTCAATCCGTCTGGATCCTGTGCACCGCCGTTTTTTGTTATGTGGAATTCCTCGTGTGTCTGGTACCGAAACGGAAATCGAGATACCGCACTGTTCTTCAGGTTCCACAAGGCAATGTCCTTTTAATATTGAACTGCACTCACTGCAATAACCTTCTATTTTGAGCCATATATTGTCCACTTTGTCCGAAATTTTGGCCTTCTTAAAATTAAACGCACAAGGTAGCGGCACTTTTTCATACACGCTCTTAGCTATAATATCCGTCCAGTTAGGTTGCAGATAGTTCCTTGATCGCAAATCCTTT